CGGATGAGCAAAGTAGTCAGCACCAACATACCTTACGGGGCATGGAAACACATGAAAAAAATATAGTATTTGAAGCCCGTGTTGTCTTTTCCCTTTTTTCGTTTAGGTTTTTCTGGACAGGTTTTGTTTGGGCTTTTATTTTCTCTATTTCTTTTTCATTTTTTAAAAACCACATGAAAATTTTCAAATTCATGATTTTTTTTGTTTTGAAAATACACAAGAATTTTTAATTTCTTGATATTAAAAAAATGATGGTATTTTTTCAAATTCATAACTTTATTTTTATCAGATTCAATTATTATTCTTAAAATCCACAAATTTTTTGTATTCGTGAACTTTTTAAAAATTCATGTTTAAAAAAACCAATGAACTTTTTTTCAAATCCATAAACTTTCTTTCAAGATCCATGAACTTTTTCGAAATTCATGCTTCTTTTTCAGAAAAGATGAACTTTTTTGAAGTTCAAATCCGTGAACTTTTTTGGATTACAAACATTTTTTGATTTTATTGCGAATTTTTATGGGTTTTTATTTTTTTTTCAAAAGTCAGTGATTGATCGGTCAACTGTCAACCGGTCAACCATTGACAGAAAGCGAACGAGGCGAGCGACACATCGCACGCTGATGGGCCGGCCCATATCTGCACGCGCGTTGGCGCCAGAACCCCTAACCGGCGCATTTTTGCGCTGATTAGGAGGTCTCTGAAGATGGTATGTCTTGTTACTCTTACTCTGCGTGCCTGGTTGCCACTGTTCAAAGGCAGCAATCGGTTCCAGCACATGAATGCAGCACACTCAGATTGCACCACCATAAAAAGCAAGAGAAGAAAGTGTCCAGCGCAACAACTTCCCCAAGTAACGGTGTTTCCATCTCAAGCTCAGGCTATTTTCTTTCAACTCATTCAGAGACATGCTTTCTGAACTATCAACTACAGAAATAGCCTGTAACTTATAGCATACAAAAAGATGGAGTATCTGTTGGGTCCAAGTTCGACACACACACAAAAAGCAGCAAGCTACCTGTGAAACAGCAAAACAAAAAACGGCACAAAAGAAAAGGTTCTTGATAGGGGCATTTTGTATTCCTTAAACCATCAGCACAGCTAAATCGCCAACTAGAACACTGGGAACAAAGTCACTGACTTGAACAACCCCAGCACAGACCCAGTGTGAACTTGGAAATTTCATGAGCCACTTGGCTGCAAGAGCGGTAACAACAGTCCACCACACATCTACATTTACCACGGGCAAATGGGTCTCAGGAACCGAAAGACCAAATTACTACTGCCCCACACCCCACTCAGGAGAACCACGAAAATGCATGGGAAAGAAACAATTGAACTTCTAACATATAATTACAAGATGGCTTCCACATACTACACCCCAATTAAACAGTTCATCTCAATGTTAACGACATAAGGCAATCTATCTCACAAACCGCAGCCCATACCCCATCCTCATGATAAAATGTTCGGCATTGATCTATCTTGCAAACCCAGCCAACAGATCAACCAGTTCAGCACACTTGGATATAACCGCCACGCCGCCGAGCACTACTTGTATATATGCGGTAGCGGAGGCTTGCTTATTCACCTGAGATTTACTCCTAGCTTGCCTGCTTATTCACCTGTGAGTACCTCAAGTTTGCATACTGGGCAAAATGTGCCCCACTGCGTCAGCCAGGGATCAATACACTCCACATGAAATTCTGTAGAAAAATTGTTGACCACAAGATAGTTAGGGAATTATCAAAAGTAAGAAGTTTCAAGCATAATCGCTGACAGTGGAAATCATTGCCTGGCTCTAACATGAAACGAAAGTATTCTTATGTAAGAATGAGCGACAAATTTTGAAATGTAGATATGTTGCCTATGTAAAACATTGGACATCGCATGAGCACTTCAAATTGTGCAAGACAAATATAGGACACTAAACTAGATTTTGTCATGTGACATGGCTAAACAAATATGCCAAACATGGTCTTCAAAAATTCCCTTTAGTCAATTGTGGCTTTTATGCATTACTCCATCTGTCTGGATATGTGTTATATAGGGCAGATTTTGATTGCTTAAGACAAGGCTTTAACCAACAATTGGTCCATTAGTGCAGTCTATGTGACGTGCATTCAGAACTACGTACTTACTTACGATTGTGATTCTGTCTCAAATAAACCACATATTAATGAAGTAAATCGCTGGTCAAAGTCTTGTCTTAACCAATCAAAATATGCATCAAGACAGAGGGAAGCACATATTGATTCATTTCTTGAAAACTACACTCCTTTTTTGGCTAAATTTGAGAAAACTGCGCCTTTAAGATAAAGCTGTGACACTTGATTCACAAAATTACTCCTTTTGAATCTGGGGTGGAACTTAGATCCGCCCCCTCCTAGCAGTGACACCAAAAGAATGGCACACAAGCAGCGTAGACTAGCTTAATGTAACAACCCAGTCTCTTTTTCCGTCACTACCATGTAGGGCCCATAGGTGAGTTCCCTCCAAGACTAGAAAAAAGGTATGGTGTATTCAAACAAGGGTCAAAGGAAAGTACAGTTTGTGAAACTTGATGCTAAATCTGTGTTATCTTGAAATTCAGCAAAAAACAATCTGTAGTAAATTTATTCTTGAAGGTATATATTTGCATTTCCAACAACAGAAGCAGTGGCCATATAAACAAATGGTCAAGTACTGAAATATCACATGCTCTTACCATGTTTGCATGGGAGAAGTCTAAGCATGTCACCATTATCATAGTCTTCTAAACAAATGGCACAGGCTTCTTCACAATTGTTGCCACTTGAGCAGGGAGCTTTATATACCACAGAAGGAAGCTTTTCCACCACATGCTTCTTGATGTAAGGTGGGCGATTATCAACTCCATGGCGTAAAAGTCGGCAGTTCCGGGCGAAAAGAAATGAAGCTACAACTGATATGATGACAACAAGTGATATGAACGACATCACCAACACTGTCCCTGCAGTCTCATCCATCGACGAGTTTATGCAGCACTCACCATCTTCACCTCTAGCAAACTTCTTTAAAGTTTCCCCAGCCATTTTGGATACGAATACCGCAGGTATGTGTATGCCCTCAGGATCACCAACCACTAAATTAAGAGAAAGGAGGAACTAAATATCCTGCAAAGTATCTCCAACAAGAACTAAATAAATGAAAACTACAAAAATGTATTTCTGAACACCATTAGCACAAAGTCATTTAGCCGTGTCCTATGTTGGTAGCAAGACTTAACCTAACGTTGAGTTAATGACATTCTCATTGATATCAGGAACCTGTCTGTTTGCCTTCAAAGCGCCCCTTGATGGCTTGTAAATAATATGGCATGCTAGGGTTAGTTCAGCTATGTGTTTCTAGTGATAGCAAATTAGAACAAAATTCCTTTTCTTCAGACTAGTTAAAGTTCATAAGAAGTAATTGCATCCAGACCTTTTGTTATGTTTTATCCATACTAACAGAGAGGAGAAGATGAGCACTAGAGATATATCTATTGCACGGCTCAACATCTAATATGATAGCGATCCTCTGAGTCTGTTTGGGATCACAAACACTTTTACGGTTTTCTCTGTATTTAACATATTCACACACTTGTGTTGGCTAAGCATTTGGAATTGTAGCAGGCCAGAAGAAGTGCCACTAACTTACAGTCAACATCACAGAACTACCGAACGGAGTACAAATAGTGACCAAATAGCCATATGACATTAGAATTCTAGTAGAACACTAACAGGGAGAACTGTAAGTCAGTGTTCACCTTCGACCCCCCAGCACAAACAGCTTTAATTACTACATTTTCTTAACCAATTATCTGATGTTTGGTTCAATTTCAACCTAAGTATAGTTGTACATACCAAAACATAAACCAATTACCACGGAATCCAACTGTGTGCTTTGAATCATAATTTGGCAGGCAGTGGAAGCCAATTCCATTCACCAAGTACGCATCTATTTAGTTTCAAGCTAGCTTCAGATCAAGAGAACCAGCTACCGAGTGTCCAAGTGAACTGACACCGCTGAAACAGTAGATCAGCATAGCAGGGGAGAGGGGGAGAGAGGCACTCACTGGAGTAGAGGCTGGCCTTGTCCTCGTCGTCGTGGACGAGGGCGGCGTCGAAGCCGGCCCGCTGCGCCGCCCGCACCTTGCCCTCGAAGCTGCAGTTCCCGCGCGCGATCAACACGAACGCCATCCCGCCGCTCCCGCCGGGGGCGCCCCTGACGGGCGCGCACGCGTCGGCGGGCTCCGCGGCGCGCAGCGACCCGCATATCCCGTCGCCGGTCACCCGGGGCCCTGCGCCGACGGACGGAGCTCAGAAAAGAGGGGGTTTTTTGGGGGGCGGGAGGGGACAGGGGGGCCCGATTGCTCACCGAAGCGCGCGGGGGCGTCGACGAAGGAGGCGGCGCCGAGGCGGACGAGGGCCGCGCAGGGGCGGGCGGCGGCGCAGGCGCAGGCGACGGCGAGGGCGGCGAGGAGGAGCACGGGGAGGCGGCGGCGGGGGCTCATCGCCAGGAGGCCGGCCTCAGCAGCAGGGCAGTTTCATTTCTCTCTGCTTTCTTTTCGTGCGCTTTTCTCCCTCTTTCTTTTCCCCATCGGATCGGCACTAGCATTGTTCTCTGCTGCTGAGGTTGCTAGCTGCTACTATAGCATTTTTGTCTTTTGCTATGGGGATGGATGGGGAGGGGAGATGATCTACAAGTTGTTCGATCTTTCTTTTTCAAGAGCGAGAGAGCAATCTCCACAAATAAAATAACAATTTTATGAGCATCTTGGTAATAAATGATAATTATGCACTTGCATCAAAATAGAAGCTTTTTTAGGGGCATCAAAGTAGAAGTAACTTGGAGCATCTACGACCGGGCCACCCTAAGAACATCTTCAACAACTCCTCTTTCCCCGATAAAATCATGATATCAGGGCGGGTCAAAAAAAGTGCTTTAACTGGTTTATGAACAATAGTCTTTTTGGAGCATTAGTTTTCTTTTTTGCACGGACCTACATGAATGTCATGTCCTCACAAAAATCTGAGGAAGTGAAAACATTCATCAATGTTTATCACAAAAAAAATCATAATTTTTTATTTTTTTTTTAAATGGATTTTATTGTTCACTAGAGAGCATGTGAGCTCAGTTTTCAAATACTCCGCGTCCCGACAGTTCCCTTTCCCCAATAAATTATTCATGATCACCAATAAAAGCAACCCATCTTTCCCTAGTGGGGGGAGGGGGTATACTGCCAAGTCGGTGTGTCGCCATCCACATGACCATCGCCGAAGCACCACCGGACCGTCGTCGCCGCCACTGGAGCACTGTCACACCATCGTCGACTGATTGACAAGTGGGTCCTAGATGTCAGGTTATCTACTGAGGAATTGGATTATTGGGGACTTGCTAGAGCGTTCATTGCAAATAAACAGAAACGTGCTAGTGGGGAGCCCCAATAGGTGATTATTGTGGGAGTTTATCTGATCCTGATAAGTGCCACACGTGTGACACGAACATATGGTAACTTCGAATGTTTTTTATGGCAAGTTCAGTGACGCGAGGATGACAACTTTCTTTTTGGATGACAAGTTTTTTAGAGTTTGTTTTTTCTTTTCGGATGGCAACTTTAATTGTAAAAACATCAACGCCGGATTGTTTTGTGCCACACGTGTGGCACTTATCATTTGAATTTTTTTAGCTATTGGAGATGCTCTAAATGCGCATGCGGATAATCCGGATAAAAAGTAGACACCCAACAAACTCAGCCCAAATGTTTGTGCTATCCGCGCACCTCTTGTATCCAACAAATATGTGGGACGACTTTGGTGCCACCAGACGCGTCCTATACATCGGACCAGCCCACCCGGGCAAAATCCCCTCCCCATACCTACCCCGGACCAAACTTTAGCCATTCTTCTCGTCCACTTCACTTTCAATCTACTCCAAACCCCCCTACACACACACACCAGTTCCTCTCCAGACGTCTTTGGTTATATCCGACATGACTAACATTAGATATGAGTCTGGTCGGTCCGGTTCCATCAAATGGGAGCCGGTCGTCTGCTCAGACAACGAGAACAAAGTCTGGGGCATGGTTCGTCGGTTCTGGGAGGATGGCTGAGATCCATCATCGGAGTCGGCCCATCATGGATCCACCAGTAGTGCATCTTCTCTACCACTCTGGATAGCACCCACTAGTGGTGACGTGTCTGGCGTAAGCTTATGCTATCACCACATCAGTTGCACCCTGAGGAGGGCCCGACTCTTAGCAGTGTGGTCGGCATACGTGAGCCAAAACTACAACCTCAGTGACCATGAATGAGCAATATATGAGAGTACATAGACTGAATCAATAGAAATGTAGATAGGACCATATATGTGATTCGTAGATGACCATGAGTGAACTATTGTTTTCAAACACTAGTTTTTATTATATCTACATTTTTAATTAAACCATCTTCTGTGAAAATTTGATTCTTAGCACGGGCTCAGATGCTCCCGATATCCCAGGCATAGCTTTATCTCGAGATCGCAGCGCTAGCTAGTATTTCACTCCCGTATATCTCGCGTATTTGCTCAAAAATAAAAACAGACCCGCCGCATTTTATTGTTGTTTGTTGGGGAAGCGCCGCCCCAGTCCATAAGAAAGGACAACGGCCGTGATGTTTTCCTGGGCCTTACTGTACAGGCTTTCCACCTCAGCCGGCTCACTTCGTCTTCCTCACGACCCCACCTAGTTTCATTTGTGGGTTGTCTTAAAAAAAACTGTGGATCCCAAGGGAGTCAAAACTTAAAGGGTGTTTGTTTATAGAGACTTATTGGTTTAGGGACTTAAAAAAGGTCTTTTTTAGTCCCATCTAAACCAAACAAAGGGACTTATAAGAATTTAAAATGGACATTTAAGACTTATGAAAGAAGATCCTCAAGGAAAGTCTTTTTGGGACTTTTAGTTGTAACATGATCTTTTAGTCCATGTTTAGTCAGAGGAACCAAACATGTAGGGACTTAGACTAGCGACTTTTAAGTTGAGACTAAAAAAGTCTTAGGACTTATGAACCAAATAGGGCCTTAATCCTAGCTCAGGTCTAATCACACTCCGTAAATTCGTGATTATTGCTCCAACGCATTCGTGATTCAGGATGCAAGTGAACAGGTCTGCAACGTGTCCGCCATCTTCCGCACTGTCCGCAAGCGCTAATTGCAGGATTAGCAACGTCCGCGAGTTAATCTGCCGCCTGTTGTGCCAGGCCGACATATGCGGACTGCTTTGTGTAGAATAATTGTTGCTATGCAAGTATGCAACTAGCTGCTCGCTGCTAATGCACGCTAGCTGGTAAGACTTCCAGCAACGGATGAATAGGCTTGCCACAGAATAATTTAGTTGGCGAACTTTTCTATAAACTGAACAACAAACACCTGTCAGAAAAGGACAATATGCAGTGTTGCTTAGTCTGTGCTGTATCAATTTTAGAAGCTGATATGATCAACTTTGCATACTAGCTGCTATACACATCTAGATTTTGCTGTGACTAGTTATTCTAAGCACACAAGCTCAACCCCATGTAATTCCATCTTCGACAATTATTTTAAACACAAGTTTTACCATGAATAATTATTCCAAATACAGATAAATAGCCAAAAGTAACATATCATCTTCAACAGTTCAAAATATTAATTACATCAAATGAGCCTTCAAGATTCAGAATTTCTCGTGTGAGTTCCTCTTTCTTGACACCTCTTCATCCCTGCTTCTTGGTTCTGCACATGAACACCTGTTTTGAGCCATCGATCTTCCTAATTAATTAAGCAACATCAAACTAAAATTAACCTGAATTACTCTAGGATAAAATATTTAGCACAACAGATGCAATGGACACAAACCTTTTCCCCTTCAACTGTTTCAGGCACATCCCCAATGGCAATGTGCTGCACCAGGCCTTCCGCAATAGCTGCCTTTACATGTTTGATCTTTAGACATGTCAGTGATCATTCTGATAACCTAAGAGAATCAACATAATTCACAGTTCCGTGGAAAAAAAACATAATTCATAGTTGTGAGGTTGCGAACAGAGAACAAGAAGTAAAAGACTGACCGTTTGATTATCAGTTCACAATGTGGATTTACCTCATCGCGTACTTGTGAATTGAGTGCTTTAACGCACTCATCCTAGAAGGACACGACGTTCTGTCTGGTGGCGCACTCCCAATACATAACCTGAATTTTCAATCAAAGTATTTCCATAAGTATTCTCCCTAAAAAACCCAACTGAAATCAGTGTCGGCCGAGCAAAACTACATAGTTACCCCCGGACATCACACACAAACCAGCAAATTTTCTATTTTTGTGCTGAAAACGTATGTACAAATACGAGAGCAAAACACACATCGCAGAGCAGAGCAACCTCTAGGGAATTTCATCAAGTACAGTTAACCGGAATAGAATTCAGTGCATAGCTCTTTGTCCAACCCAGTGCCTCGAGGTTTGACCTGCTAGTTGGCTGCATAGACCGTATCGAAGAAGGCTCCCTCGACGGGGCATGTCGCACTGCGGCCTCACCGGGCTTCCGCCACTGACTTGTTGCCCTCACCCGAATCCAGCATTTGAGTTCGCCAGCGCAGCAGGATTGGCATCACGCGGCGGTACCAGCTCCAGAGGGACAGAATCTGGATGTTCTCGGCTGTCAACAAACTCCATTCGTAGTTGAAACCTACAAGTCATGGCCATGGGCGGTGGCTGACGCGGTGTCAGCTTTCGGGTGTGTCCTATGAGCAAAAATGTCGAAAATCGTTAGATCTCCAGCGAGGAAGGGTGCACTCACCGGTTGACGACATCTAGCAGGGACTCTAGCGTGACACCTTCCATCGTCGACACGTCGGAGCAAGCAGACCAGGAAGACCACGTGCGCCGTGGCGTCCCTTCTTACGCCCTGGGCCCACGAAACACGCACTGTTTCATACAATATACGTGTTGTATCCTCTTTTTTCGTTGTTTCTGTTCAAACGCGTCAGACTGATTTTTTGGAATACCGAGACTGGAACGAACGCTAGCGATTTCAGGAGCAGCTGAGCCCGAACGCTGAATCGCTGCGTCCTATCTTCTGGCCCATAGAGATGGGTGTGGACTTGGAAGCGGGTTCGGGAATAAGCAGGTGCATGTAGAAGTAAACACTACCAGGAGGGGTCGTGGGAAGGCAAAAAAAGTATATGCCTACACGACGTAGGAGAAACCAGCCTACAAGAATACGTAGTGCAGCGTGTTACCATCCCCATCCTGCTCAATGAGAGGGTTGTGCCATCAACTTTAGGGTCTTGATGACAACTGACAAGACCTCTCGACTCGTATATTTGTACTAAACTTTCATATTTGCTTATAATTCATTTACTTAAAAGTACAAACTTGACTATTGTGTGTTTCTTATATTGTTCTTTGATATACATTTCTAATGTTTGTCATTGAAAAATACACACACCATGCCAAATTAAAATAATATGTTGTAAAATAAGCTATTTGTCGTCAGACAT